CAAAGGTAAGTAATTAAGTAGTACTAGCTAGCTAGCTAGCTACCATCTCTTTAGTTCTTGTTTCAATACCATTAATTACTTATCATGCTTGATTAATCATTATCTGATTCAATTCCATTCTCATAAAGGCCCTGAAGCAGACGCCGGGGAATGATTTGTGTGTATTCTACGTTTGCGAGAACATTCACATGATGGCATTCAAAAGGAGCAGATCTCAAAGACAGGACTGTGTACGTTTGTCAGAACACTATTTACACCTTTATCGATATCTAGTCACACAACTAATACACAGAGAGGTGCGGGAGTAGCTCCTACCAATGGACCGCATACTAGCACTTCAAGAGGAAATAGCGGGATTTTTCCTCGACCAGGTCATAGATCCCAAAGGAGAATACTATTACCCGCTACCGCCCCCATGAACCACTTGTCATCGTGCTCCGAAGGCACCAAGGCAACATGTAGGAGAAATTGTATGTCTATATATATATATATATATATATATTATATATGTGGTTCTACGTACGAGAAAATATATGCATAACGTGTACGATTTGTAGTATCGTAAAATACCAGCAAACAAAAAAGAATTAAATGGAAAACACAAAATTAATGGAAAATAAAAAATAAAACCAAAACCACCCAAACATTTAGTAACGGTTGGTAACTAATGGTCTACCAGCACCCGGGCCTGGCTTGTGCCACGTGGTGGCACTTTAGCGCCGGTTCGTGCTGAACCGGTAGTAAAGGGAGGGGGGGCTTTAGTCTCCACTCTTTAGTGCCGGTTGTAGAACCGGCACTAAAGGCCCTTACGAATCGGTGCTAAAGCCCGGTTCTGCACTAGTGATGTATTTAGGCTAGCAAATTTGAAACAAAAACGGTCCGGCAAAATAGCAAGGTCTATTTTCTATACACACACATTTGAATCACATTATATTGGTTTGAAGGCAGATGACATGCCATAACCGCCCGCAAAAAAAAGGAAAAAAGAAAAATATGACATGCCACAACAGCTTGGAGTTACGATTCCATTACGCTGCTCAATCCAGCACACTCCTTGCTTTGGCCTTATACATCCAAGGCTCCACCAAAAATCATACTGAATATTTACTACGCATAGCTGTGTTTTTTTCTATAGGATCACATCAGAGGAAATAAAAATCACGAGAGAGCTTCTGTGCGTGTAACAACAGGAATTGATCTCAGAATCTGGGCCAGGTCTTTATTCAGTGATGCCAAGGTTCAGTTTCATCTTGCTGCAGAAATTGTCCTACAGCTAGATATCGCCCAAGAGAAGCACCGCCTCACGCCTGCAGAATTCCACCTCCGAAAACAGCTGAAGCAGAGGATCGTCGGCCTCGCCGCGATCAAGCACATGCGCAAGAGGCAGGCGTCTGGGATTACCTGGCTCAAGGCCGGGGACGCAAAGACTGCTTTCTTCCAAGCCAGGATAAATTCCCGCAAGAGGAAGAATTTCATTCATTCTCTGCAGTCAGGGCCACGACGGCCACCTCACACACAGACAAAGCCGACATCACTCACAACCACTTTGTCAACCTGCTGGGCACTAAGCAAGACCATGGATGCTCCATCAACTGGGCTCCAATCGACGTGCCGACGGTGCATAACACTGCCTGGACAACCCATTCTCTGAACCTGAAGTTTGGGTTGCAATCCTCGCTTCGCCTACTGACAAAGCGCCAGGGCCGGACAGGTTCTCGGGCGCCTTCTTCATGGCCTGCTGGAGCACCATCAAGCACGACGTCATGGCGATCTTCGATCATTTCTGCAGGCTTGCTGGAGGCAATTTCTCTGAACTGAACTCAGCAATGATCGCCTTGCTACCCAAGAAGGAAAGTGCAACCTGCATGGGCAACTTCAGGCCAATTAGTCTCAGACATTACATCGCCAAGCTGATCGCCAAGGTGCTCTCCTCATTGACACGATTATCTCCCCCGCGCAATCTGCTTTTCAAAAGGCTAAATGCATCCATGACAGCTTCCTCTTCGTTCATAATAGTGTGCGCGCACTCCACCGCCGCAAAACACCCGACCTGCTGCTGAAACTAGACATAGCCAAAGCCTTCGACAACGTCTCCTGGGAGTATATCTTTGAACTACTGCAAAAGATAGGCTTCCTGGTGCACTGGAGGGATTGGGTAGCTCTCCTCCTCTCGACCTCCTCGTCGGCGTGCCTCCTCAACGGCATTCCGGGCGACAGCATCGAGCACCGACGTGGCCTGCGGCAGGGCGATCCACTCTCCCCACTACTATTCATTCTCTGCATCGATCCCCTTCATAGACTATTAGAGGCAGCAACCAGAGACGGCCAACTCCACCCAATCCCTGGGAAGGCGTGCGCATGCGCACTAGTTTATACGCCGACGACGCCGTAATCTTCATCAACCCTATGCGACAAGAGATCAACAAGCTTTTGAACATCCTGCAACTCTTCGGCGAGGCCACCGGCCTACGTGTCAACATGACAAAGTCCTCGGCTATCCCGATTGCTTGCGATGGAATCGACCTACAAACTGTACTGCACAACTTTGGAGGAGCGGTAGCGGCTCTGCCGATCAAATATCTCGGCCTCCTGCTCATCACCGGCAAAATCAGATTAGTACATCTCCAATTCATCCTGGACAGGATCCGGACACGACTGGCTGGCTAGAAAGGAAGGTTGATTCCCATCACAGGCAGGCGCGTGCTGGTTCAATGTGTGCTCTCAGCCATGCCCACTTTTTCCATCACAGTGTTGCAAGCACCTAAGAAGTTCTTCAAGGAAGTTCACAAGGCCAGGAGGCGGTTCCTCTGGGCACAAGATGAGGAGGCCATTGGTAGAAAGTGCAAGGTCGGCTGGCAAGCGGTCACTATGCAGGAGCGCGCCGAGGGCCTGGGTATCCATGACCTGGCAAGGTTTGCTCGTGCCCTACGCCTCCGCTGGCCCTGGCTTGCTTGGACGCAGCCAACACGTCCTTGGGTCGGCACGAGCACCCCTTGCGACGACAATGATCATGCTCTGTTCATTGCTTGCATGGCGGTCACCATCGACGACGGCGCGACGGCTTCCTTCTGGTTCTCCTCGTGGCTTAGCGGCAGTCAGCTATGTTTGGCATACCCAACGGTGTTCGCCCAATCCATCTGCAAAAACAGATCAGTCCGGGAAGCTCTGCACCAGGACAGATGGATCCTCGATCTCCGTCATGGTGACCATGACAACATCATACACCTGGTGCTGCAACTTGCTAGGGAGACCATAAGCGCCGAAATCATGCTTGAAGAAGGGAGAGCAGACACAATCAGATGGACCCTGTGCAGCTCTGGCAAGATACCACACGCTCTGCCTATGAAGCTCAGTTTGAAGACCGCCCCGCGCTCAGTTTCAAGACATCCATCTGGAAGGTCTGGGCTTTGGGAAAGATGAAAATGCTCCTATGGTTGCTGCACTTTGATAGGCTCTGGTGCAATGTCAGGCTCCAGAGACGTGGCTGTGACAACAACTACTTCTGCTAGATGTGCCTACGGAACCTTGAGACCTCATCGCATCTCTTCTGGGAGTGCACATTCACCATTCAGGTTTGGAACAAAGTGGCAACCTGGGTGGGCTGCAGCTCACTGGCACACATCAACTGGAGCACAGGTAAAACTACCACTTCTTCTAAAAAAGGTAAAACTACCACTGAGCGCGTCCGCATGATCCTTGATGGAACATCCCCAGGTACAAGGAAGGGAATCAGTTTGATACTCTCCTTGGTGGTCTGGCACATTTGGCTAGAGCGCAATGCGAGCACCTTCAAGGGGAAGATCCTCATGTGTCAGTAGCATCACCGAAGCCTGCCGCCGGGACATGGAGCAGTGGAGGATCGCCGAAGCCAAATGCATAGCGCACCCCTTCAAGGACGTGCCATGAAATATTGCGATCAGGATGTATCGCTAGCTTACAAGCCCGTTAAGCTGGCAGTGTAATTTTCTCTTACAATCCACTAATCAGTTGATCAAACTATGTTTTTCCGCTCTCTCCTGCTTATGAAATGAAAGCCAGCAATGGCCACTTTCAAAAAAAATCAACAGCTTCAGTGTGTGTAACAACACGAATCAATCAACAGCAAACATGTAACGGCAGAGGAGAGCTCTTGCGGACGTGGTGGGAGAATAGATGGGGAGAAGGACCAGGTGGGCTAGTGGGGCGACAGGAGTGATGTCGACCGATGGAGGGCACACCGGCGGGGGAGTAGCGGCGCCGGCACATGTGAGAGGGGAGGAGCGTACACACGCACACGTGGGACAGGACGGAGGAGCATACTTGTGTTCGGCCGTTGAAGTGGTGGTTGTGGGCGGCGGCGAGGGCGGAGTGCTCATACCCAAGGAGAAGCGAGTTGAAGGATCTAGCGAGGGCACAGGAAACAATTTGAGGGGAAGAAAAATGGAACGGGAGCGGGCGATTTTTAGATAGGTCAAGGCAGGACGCGGCTATATAGCAGGAAAAGGAACTTACGCGCGTGTTTTCTAGATAGTAGAGAAAAATTGGGTGGGTGGGACGACGTAGGAACGGCGTGGAGGGGGAGTTCGACAAAGGTCAAGGTAAGACATGGTCGTATGACAGGACACAGTCATATGGCAGGAAAAGGAACCTTATGTGTTTTTTAAATAGTGGAGATTCAACAAAGGCCTGACAAGAACATACAACAAGTCACCCAAAGCCACCACTCACACCTACAAATTTGATAATATGGAGTGCTTTCACTCCCCATACCAAAAACACGGTGCCGTCGCGCGCCGCTCCATCCACGTGACATACCGGAACCTACAACCGGTGGAGATAACATAAAGCGTACACATAATATACATTCAGTAACAACTGGATTTAGTTTTCCTCCATTATAATTTTTTTATAATAAAGTACAGCAGAAAACATGACCTGGTAATTTTTCAGATAGAACCAGCATGTTCGGTTTTTTGTAAATTCTTTTACCACAGTAGCAACACAATTGCCATCCAAATAAAGAAAGTAAATCCAATGGAACTGAAAAGATCTTGAATGTATATTCTTATAAATCTAAGATGCCGGACAATTCTTAAGGGTCGAGATTTTTAAAAATCAAAAGGCTCTTCGCCCTGTTCCGTTTCAAACGAAATGAAAACAGTGTCACAACAGTTAATACCATTACAGACCTTTTAAATAGGCCACATCTCAAAACCTCAACATCTAGTAGTCATGAATTATTAGGGCATGGCCAATGTATAGCCTCATGATAATGGCTCATGTGCCATGTAGGATGGGATGTTAGAAAAAATAGGTTCAAATAGAAAAATGGGATTCTCTGCAAGAGGTGGGTGCTTGCACTAGTAGAAAAGGGGGCATCAGTTCCGGTTGGTAAGGCCCTTTAGTCCCGGTTTTTGAACCGGGACTAAAGGGCCGTTACTAATGCCTCCCACCTTTAGTCCCGATTCAAACTGGAACCGAGACTAAAGGTCGCGGCCACGTGGAGCTCCACCTTTAGTCTCAGTTGGTAACACCAACCGGGACTAAAGGAAATTTTATGAATTTTTTTTAAAATTTTTTTGATTTTTTTTGATTTTCAAATTTCTGAATTATTTTAACCTCTAATCTCTAATCACCACCTCTCATCACTGCTCAATTTATCCTTTAATCTCTAATCACCCCTCATCATTCCAAATCATCTAACTTCCCGGACGGTCACCCATCCTCTCACTACTCCAGCCTGAGCACGCTTAACTTCCGGGTTCTATTCTCCCTCGTTTCCAAGTCTGCACTTGTTGTTTTCCTGACAATAGTAAGATGTCAATCCTATTAACCCTCAGGAATTTTGCGTGAGCATGAAGTGACACATTTCATTGTTTGAGTTTGAAACTATTGTTTTAAAAAACAATAATTATTTAGTAACACAAATATTTCTTGAATAATTAGTTTGACCATTGTTTGACCACAGTTTGACCAGATTTGACCAAAATTCAAAATAACTGAAACAATTATTTAGTAACACTAATATTCTAGAATAATTAGTTTGACCATTATTTGACCATTGTTTGACCATAGTTTGAAATTTTTTCGATTTTTTCCACTCTAGATCTTAAAAGCCCCGTAACTTTTTTTCTGTTAGCTTTTTGAGGATTTTGAAAACGTTTAACAGGGTTCCCCCAATTAAATTTGGATGTAACTTTTCGAGTAGATGATTTTTCATATAAAAAACTTTTTCATCCGAGTCAGTATGCAAAAGTTATGCCTATTTTACTAAATTCTAGAGAGATTTTGCAAATAAAGTCAAAATTCACATTTGCAAATTTTCCCAACAATTAGACCACATATCACATGGGAAACTTATTTTTTTATTTTTTTGACATTTTCATCATTTTCTTTTATTTTTTTTAAACTAAAAAGGCTATCCACGGGGGGGGGGGGGAGTTCGAAAATGTGACCTTTAGTACCGGTTCGTGCCATGAACCGATACTAATGCCTCAAACCCCATTAGTACCGGTTGGTGGCTTGAACCGGGACTAAAGGTCTAACCTTTAGAACCGGTTGGTGCCACGAACCGGTACTAATGGGCATCGCACCCTTTAGTCCCGGTTCGTGGCACCAACCGGGACTAAAAGGTCCAAACGAACCGGGACAAATTGCCCACGTGGCCCCTGGGTGCACGAACCGGGACTAATGCCACCATTAGTCCCGGTTCTGGACTGAACCGGGACTAATGGGCTAACCCGGGGTGGACCAAAGCCCTCTTTTCTACTAGTGTTGGGAGCAAAAGTGTGGTACGATGTAAAAAGGCTGAAAAAGTTTTGAAGTGGAGAGTAGGGATGCATGTGTAGTAAGGGTCTACTTTTTATTGTTTGATGAGACTCACTAGTAGTAGCTTGTGTTGGGAGAAAAATTAATGCATGCCTCAAGCTACTTCTTGTCATGAGGCATCTGTGTCTGTATATACCCTTATTCTTACAGCCAGCATCACATCGGCAAAACTGAAAACGCGGCAGAATAGAAACTACAGCGACGGTCGCGGCTCCCTGGTTTCTTGTGTCCCGGGGCCATCAAGGATACCGAAACCATGGTCTAGGAGAGTCATCACACCACGTGGGGCTAGCCTCCTTACAATGGTCAGTGAGCTAATCAGTCCAGTCACTGGGAAATGGGATGAAGAGCTTGTTCGGGACACCTTTTGTGAAGAGGACACGAAACATATCCTAAGCATTCCACTAAGGGAGGGAGTAGATGACTTCACCGCGTGGCATTATGATTTGGAAGAGGAACATTCAGTCTAGGTGGAGTTGTGCAAGCAAGTACAAATCGGGGCTCCTGGGACGAGTTCTGCGGCTGCGGGACAGTTGGAGAGGCATAATGATCCAACCTGTAAGCGCATATGGAAAATGAGGTGTCCAGTTAAGCTGCAGATGTTCATTTGGAGAATGAAGCATCAGTCATTGGCACTATGCACTAATCTGAAGAGGAGAGGTATGAGGCTAGAGTGTTCTAGCTGTTTCAGCTGCGGGAGAGCGGAGGAAGATGGGGCGCACCTGTTCATAAAATGCAAGCTGGTGAAGGAAGGGTGGAGAGCACTTGGGCTGGAGCATGAGCGCATGCAGCTCGAGAGCATTAGGGGGGTGCATGCAATGCTGGATAAATTGTGGGAGCTGCATGAGAGGAAAATGATGCTTATTATAATCTTTTGGTGGCATTGGTGGAACAACCAGAACAAAATTCGAGAAGGAGAACTGCCAATCGCTACATCAGAGATCGTAAGGCGAGCAAAATGTGATGCAATGGAGTATGAGGAGGTATACTCTCCGTCAGGTAAAAATACCACAGCTAGATGGCAGGCACCTGCTCAAGGGGAGATCAAGTTCAACCTTGATGGGGCATTTACACCTGGTGGCAGTATTGGAGGATGGGGAGTGGTGGCCAGAGACAACGAGGGGCATATGATAATAGCTCGAGCCGGTCGACAAGACAACACTCCGGATGCCTTCGCTGCTGAGGCTGGCGCGATGGCTGCAGCGGTTCAAATAGCAGCTGGAATTGGTGCCACTCGAGCGGTTTTTGAAACTGACTCTCAATTGCTTGCTGATGCTCTGGACATGTGGAAGGCCGATTCCTCACCTTATGTTGCGGTGATCGAAGACATAAAACTCCAACTTAAGTTGTGGTTTACAAAGTTCACTGTACGAGCTTGTAGGCGAGAGCCAAATTCTGTTGCACATGAATTAGCTCAAATAGGTCGTATGTGTTGAGTGGACCATAACTATACCGCCCACTGTGGCTGATCGTGTGTTGAGTGATATGCCCAACCACGGTTAATCTATAAAGCTATGCTTTGCCTTAAAAAAAAGGACGCTGTTATATAGTTTAAGCCGGTCCATCTCATGAGAAATCAACAAAACACGCAAGAAAGACGGACGGGACCCGCTCCTCGGTCGCTCCCGCGAGCGGCCAGGAGTACAACCTAGCCGTCGCCAGCGCCATATCCAGCCGCCCCTTCTCCCCTCGCCGCCGCCGGTGGGCGTCGCCGGGCAAAGCTCGTGCGGCTTGGCGGCAGTGAGGCCCTCTCCTCCTCCTTCTTGGAGTGGCGCGGCGCGGGCCGGCCGCTTCGAAGGAGTTCCGGCGCCTTGGCATCTGGGGCGGCGCAGCGAGGAAGCGCACATGGTGGGGCGAGCACGGCGGGCCTTCGCAGGTGGCGGGGCGGCGTGGTGCTCTGAAGCATGCTGCGCGCGCGCGGAAGGGGAGGATAAGCGCGGATCTGAAGCGCGTGGGCTCGCACGGCAGCGTGAGGTGGTGCTTCGGCTCTGGCGGTGCTGCGGTGATTCGGCAAGGGAGCGGCATGGATGCGCAAGGGTCCTTGCTGCCCAGATTTGTCTGCATCTCAGGTGGGAAGGATGCGCTCATGCGGCGAGGGCAGACAGGGGCTTCCAGAGGCTGCCGGGAGAGGTGAGGCGTGCCGAGGGCGGCGGTTCGGCTGCGAGGGCACGACTGGTGTGGCGCTCGTCGCGGGTGCGTGAAGGGCCTGGGCGGCGGGGTCGGCGCGGCTCAGAGGCGTCGCGGATCTGCTGCTAGGAGGTCACGAAGGGTGAAGGTGGTCAGATTCGGCCGGATTTGACCAAGGTGGCTCGATCGAGGGCTTGCCGATGCATGATGTGCGGGGCTCGAGAAGCTGACCCGGGCGAAAGCTTGTCTCCGGCGTGTACGGAGCCGGCGATGGTGACGCTTTCAAGCGATGTTTCCTTGTTGTTGGCATCGTCGAGACACTCTCAGCTCCAATCTTCGCAGCTTCGGGGGAAACCCTAGATCGATGGGATCGGACGATGACGGTGCTCTAGCATCGTATCCCCTCTCGGGGGCTTCATCTTTGGAGCTAGGCATCATCAAGCGGGACTGATGGAAGTTGGTGGTGTTGGCGTCGAGGCTTTTGTGGCAACGATGATGGGCGTGTGCGATGTCGGAGATGGGGCAATGGTTGCAGTAGTCGGCTCTTCTCCGGCGTGTTCGTGGGACTACCTCGGGTTGTTTTGTTGCGGTGAAGTCGGAGCTATGGTGGCGGGGCCCTGTGGCGACGATGACAGGCAGCAGGTGGTCTGTTCGGTGGTCTTCCACGGTGCCAGCCTTGCATAGTCTCCTTCGGAGCCATCTTTCAGAGTCGGAGTTGTGTTGTCCTTGGCGCGGGTGGCTGAGTTCGCGGGGTTTCTTGTGTTTCACACAGCTCTACAGTGTGGGTTGGGTCGATATTTGTCTTCGGAGAAGTCAGAGTCGCTTTCTCGGAGATTAGGGAAGGCGATGAGGCCTGTTGGGGGGAAGTGATGACGATGACACCGGTGTGCGATGTTGACGAGACCCTCTATGTGAGGTGTGTGGTATTATGTGTGTCTCTCAGCGGTTTGTGATGGTTTTTGCTTGGTTTTTCGTTTATTAACCGGGCAACTCTCTTCTGCTTTACTAATGAGATGAGGCAAAGCTTTTGCTTCCGTTTCAAAAAATATATATAGTTTAAGCCAAGCAGGTGAGTCACCAGAGCTTTGCCTTCGTGGAGCAGCAAACACTGCTCGCCAACATTTTAGGAAATGTAGCAGCCTCTGCGTACCTGATAAACCACTCCATGCAATGCAAGCAAAGATTACACTCCCTCTGTCCCATAATATAAGATGTTGTTACAACCAATATGTGAGAGGGAGGGAGTATCACTTATCATCTTTCAGCTGGTCCAAAAGGAAAGCAGATGAAATCATATTCACAGCAATTTTTCTTACTCCTATTACTGATACAAATTCTAGCAGCAGATTCATAACTGACGAAATCAGGCCTAGAGACAACGCCGGCCAAATCTTGCCAAACTAGCTTGGTTAACATCACAAACAAAGAACATATGTTATCAGGTTTCATCTTCACTGCGAAGCAGGCAACTCTTGTCTTTTAGCCAAGTTATTATCCCCAGCTAGCTTTATTATGAAACAACAGCCATAAAAACATTTACACCATAGGAGGCACATGAAACTGCGAAAGAGAAGTTTGACCTCTCAAAGATTTGTGGAAGCTAGCACATGATACAATGCAGAAGAATGTAAAAACTGGGAAAAGATCCTGATGTAGCTGTAAAAAGACAAGAAGTGGGATTGAACTATCAGATCAAATGAAAAAACCTGAGCATGTGTATGTTACTGCAGGACTAACCAAGTGGTACCACATAGCCATGCCGGACTCTGGTATTGAAGAAAGGCTCATATATTGATGCATATAGAATTTAGTACAAATAATAAACTTGCTATCTACCAATGAGGCAACAGGAACACGTTTTATGTAGAATGTTTAATCTTCTGACTTCTGTACAAGAAATGGATAGAATCCAACTTCGTATGACAGATAAAGCGTTTCATTCAATGTAACAGGTTCTGCTCCAAGCACTACAAACAATCAGGTGAAACTAGCAAGTGACCAAATTGAAAGTTTAATCTGCCACATTTATCGCCGGGTAGATCAAAACTCACAAACAGGAAACACATGTGGATTGCTAAATAATGAGTATTCAGCATATTGAGAGGAGCACTAGATAATCAATCTCTCAGAATAAAAACAGGACATAGATAAAAAGGCAAAGTCAAATTTCGAGTTCAAGAAATAGACATAGGTGGAGTTATTTACCCAAAACCACCATATTATGGGCTAGTGTAACAGATCGGTACCATATTTAAGGCAGGGCAGAAAAAACCACCAACAATGGGGCTAATCTGTAACGCGGAGCACTGACGCTGCGTTTTAGCCCAGAAAACAGCAAAACCGACAGGTGGGGCCTGCTTGTCGGGATGATGTGGCAAAAAAAATTCCACGTGGGCTGGCTGACGTGGCGTGCCTATGTGGTTAATTTACTGACTTGGACGAGGGTCCCACCTGTCAATGACTCGTGTGTTTATTTTCTTACTCTTATCTTTTCTTTTCCTGTCAATTCGGTCCCTGTAAATTTTCAACAAAAGCAATCGGGTCCTACAAACAAATTAAAAAAGTCATTGTGTCCCTCCCGTGCTCAAGGTCGACAGGAGTTGCGCCCGTAGCCGTGCTCGTCGGACAACAGCCGCCGTGAGGAGTGCAACGGCCGCCGCAGAGCTCTGTTCCCTCGCCCGGGTCGTTATCCAGTGCGCGCAGCCGCGGAGCTCCCTTCCAGTGTCGCCGCAGTGCTTCCTCCCACCGCCCGTCGGCGTCTACTGCGCGCAGGCGCGGAGCTCCCTCCAGCGCCGCCGCAGAGCTCCCTCCCGTCGTCCATGGCGTATAGTGCGCGCAGCCGCGGAGCTCCCTCCGGCGCCGACGCAGAGCTCCCTCCTATCGTCCATCGGCTTCTACTGCGCGTTGCCACGCTGCATCTGCCTCCATTAGCCCGAGCAGGAGGACCCGCGCAGGAGACGGCTCGGGGGCTCTGCATCGAGGTCGAGCACGGCGCGCGCCGCGGACGGGGCGGATGGGCACGAGGTCGACGCCGACGACGAAGGCGCCGGCGGGGGCACGGGCGGACGGGGCGGGGGCACGAGGTCGAGCACGGCGCGCGCCGGCGGGAGGAACCGGAAGCGGTCGTCGAGCTGCTGCAGCTTGAAGGCCGCGCGGCTCCGGTAGCCCTACTCCTTGGCGAGGTGGTAGTGCTTGTCCCGCCGCTGCTTCCCCTTCGCCTTGCCCATGGAGCTCTCAACCTGCATCGGCAGAGATGGCTCGCCGCGCACAAGCTGCTCGACACAATGCTCCATAGAAATAGAGATGGGATGAAGATGACTATGTAGTCAATGACAGGCGGGACCCGCACCTCATCTGCCACCTCAGCTAGTCAAAGTTTTTTTGTGTGCTTAGTATTTGCCACGTCGGCCCGACAAGCGGGACCCACCTGTCAGATTTGCTGTTTTCTAGGCTAAAACGCAGCGTCAGTGCTCCGCATTACAGATTAGCCCTATTGTTGGTGGTTTTTTGTGCCCTGCCTCAAATGTGGTACTGATCTGTTACCCTTGCCCATAATATGGTGGTTTTGGGTAAATAACTCACATAGGTGGAATGCAAAACAATTCTCCAGTTCAAGAAAACAGAGACATGAGGCAGACTAGTTCGCACACATCTTTCAAACGCACACAAATGACTTGGCACTTTTGGTATTGAAACAAGCATAGATTTCATGCAACCACATAACAGCGAGAGCTTCTTGATCACAAGTTGATATGCATCAACAGAGAAGCGTGCGGGTCAAACTTGATATTGCAGCTCATAAGGATACTGACAGTTTAGAACGTTCAGAAGCAGCACGCCACTCAAAAGCTATTAGATCAGATGAAAGGGGAAGCGCTCACAACATCACCAAAGAAGGTATGTGAAACTAAAGTTTGTTTGAGCCAAAGTCGACTATCACCGAGATCTTTGAAGTGGAAAGTGGCAACCAACTTACCATCCATATCAATTTGAAGTAGCCGCTCACCAAATTTGACCAGCACCAGCACATCACCACTGCAAGAAGTGAACACCACATTCGAATACTCGGCAAACTTTCCGAACTGCACCCTGAACTCCGCAACCGGCAATTCAACCCGGTATTTCAAGGCCCAGACCTCGCTTTCGTAGTCGTGCGCCATCCAGATATCAATGGTTGACGTTGCATCATTAAAGCTGGACATGCCGAGCATCCCATCCATCTCAAAGAGGGTAGCGAACCAAGGAACAATGGGGGTGCGCATCTCACGGAGCGACTCATTCGCGGTGTCAAACACCATTACCACGTTGGTTCCGGTCTCATTCTGCTGTATGTTCCAATGCAGGCTACCACGGAACAGGAAGGATGGGGGGTATATTAGGTCCTCCACATCTGTACCCTCTATGTGCCTCAGCAACGGCTGGGCAAAGCCTAATGAGAAGATGTAGCAGCCATCTGGCGAGTCAGGTGGAAATTCTCCAGGGTTCAAGGTTTGATCCCAGTACAGCAACAGACGGTACTCGCCAGTTGGGCTATGCGGGTACATCGTTGGTAGCAGATGGTGTTTTCTAAATTCTTTTCGTTCGGTCGAATCCTTCATGGGGTGATCAATCAACTGTGTTCGTCCTGTTCCATGAGGAATTGAGAGTAGTGCTTCCGTAAAGTAGTGACGCCGAGTTTCTATCTATCTATTTCTATCCAGACCATGTCTGAAAATTTGACATGTAATGTAAGTATTCCTTTGCTCTCAAGACATTGCTTGCTCAGGGCTAGTGGCATCTTGAATGCTGTCGTTCTACTTCGTCATTTCACGCTGCCGTCTCCGCGCCGCAGATGCTCCCGGTTTGGCTGTGGCGTCTGAAGTTTGAACGCGTACGTACTGGTTGCAGATGATTCAGTGAGCAAAGAAAAGTTCTGACGGACATTTCTCTTGCTCCCCTCCACATCACCTGTTTCTTGCTACATGAGCAAACAAGAAACGCATCAAGCATGCAGAGAGTGCCTGTTCAGCGTAGGGATGTCAACCGGGTCCTGTTTAAAGTTCACTTATGATATGATAGTTCAAAAAGATTTTTTGTTTGTTTGAGGAAAATGAACTATCAAGCTAGCAAAAACTAACTAAACGGGATTGTGGACGCCATTTATTTGCCACAACACAACAACATATGATGATTCTTGTTGGCTCAAGAAAAGTAATATGGCAGTGTTAAATGCACTGTTGATGCTTGTGTGCGAGATGCGGAAACGTCTTACCCTTGTTGGAGGAGACGGCTTCGTGTTTATAGGCAGGGGCGCAATAACCCTGATGCGCATACAGAGAGGTTGAGATATTACAGGAGATTACAATCTTGGAGAGGAAGAGATAGAGATGGTTACAATAGATAAATATGAGAGCTAACTATCAGGTCTATCTCTAAGCCGGTCGTGGATCTCCTTGGACAGCCGTGACAGGTGCAATTACCTGTTTAACACCCTCCCTTAATCACAACTTCATCAAGTTGAGATTATGTTTGAAGTCTTCAAAACTTCTTGTAGGCAAAGGTTTTGTGAATCCATCTGCAATTTGATCTCTGGAATGCACAAACCTAATGTCAAGTTTCTTCTTGGCAACTCTTTCTCGTACAAAGTGAAAATCTATCTCAATATGCTTGGTTCTTGCATGAAAGACAGGATTAGCAGATAGGTAAGTGGCACGAAGGTTATCACACCACAAACATGGGGCTTGGGTACTTTTGACACCAAGTTCCTTCAACATGGATTGTACCAATATTATCTCAGTTGTAGCATTAGCTAATGCTTTGTACTCTGCTTCTGTACTGGATCTGGAAACAGTAGCTTGTTTTATTGCACACCATGAAATCAAGCTAGAACCAAAGAATACTCCAAATCCACCAGTTGAGCGTCTATCATCTAGACATCCTGCCCAATCAGAATCTGAGAAAGCACTAATAAGTGTTGATGGTGACTTGCTAAAATTGAGACCAAGATTGAGAGTATTCTTAACATATCTAACTATACGTTTTGCAGCAGTCCAATGAACTGTAGTGGGTGCACGAAGAAACTGGCAAACTTTGTTAACAGCAAAAGATATATCAGGTCTAGTGAGTGTCAAGTATTGCAGTGCTCCTACTAGACTTCTGTACCTTGTGTTGTCATCTTGATTTAAAGGTTGTCCTTCTGTAAGAGACAATTTTTCTGAGCTTGATAATGGAGTAGGTGAAGGTTTACAACCTTGCAAGCCAGCTTTCTTAACAAGATCTGTTGCATACTTTTCCTAAGAGAGATGAAGTCCATCATCATGCTTCTTCACCTCAATTCCCAAAAAGTAATGCAAGCTTCCAAGATCCTTGAGTGCAAATTCTGACCCAAGATCCTTCAAGAGTCCTGTTATGGCCTCATCTGAAGAGCTTGTGACAATAATGTCATCAACATATATGAGAACAAATATATGTGTGTTGTACTTGTTGTAAATGAACAATGAGGTGTCAGACTTAGAAGGAATAAAGCCAAGAGTTTGCATTCTGTGACTAAGACGAGAGTACCACGCCCTTGGAGCATGCTTCAGTCTATATAATGACTTGTCAAGTTTGCACACATGAGAAGGTGCATTCTTGTTCAAAAACCCAGGAGGTTGCTTCATGTACACTTCCTCTTCCAGAACACCATGGAGAAACGCATTCTGTACATCTAGCTGTCTTAGACTCCAGCCCCTGGAAACAGCAATAGACAAGACCAGGCGAATGGTGGCAGCTTTTACAACAAGACTAAAGGTGTCCTCATAGTCTATACCATAACGCTATTTAAAGCCTTTTGCAACTAGTCTTGCCTTATAACGAGCAATGGTTCCATCAGATTTTCTTTTAATTTTGAATACCCACTTGCAGTCAATGAGGTTTTTACCTTGCTGTGGAGGAACCAAATGCCAAGTCTTATTTTTCTGTAATGCCATGTATTCTTCATCCATGGCCTTTTTCCATTTTTCATCACCGAGTGCCTCTTCAAGCGTGTGTGGTTCACCAGGTTCACCTGTGGAACAAACCAACCCATATTTTGTTACATGCTTGTAATTAACAGGTTGGATTACCCCTTTTATAGTCGTGTGCGGTGTTGGGACGATGTTGCTGAAGCTTGTGCCACAGAAGATCCCGTGACATGCACCAAATCTGCTGTTGCAGTTGATCCGGAGGTGGATTCTGCCGCAGCACCAGCCGGATCCACCTGAGCTTGATCTTCTGTGGCAGCCGAACGAGTTCTGCATGGCGCAGAAGATCCAGCCCTGCATGCCTCATCATTGTCGCATGATGGCGCATCAGCACGGGGTTCTGTGCCTGTCCCCACGCCTGTCCCCGCGCCTGTCGTCGCGCCTGTGGAGCGGGCCGCCTCGCGCCGCTTGTAGCAAAGCGGCTGGACCGGGAACCGCGTCCTAGTGGAGCCACCCGGGGGCCGCCAGGTGTCGATGCCAGGGCCACTCTGTTGGGGAACGTAGCAGAAATTCAAAATTTTCCTACGTGTCATCAAGATCTATCTATGGAGAAACCAGCAACGAGGGGAAGGAGAGTGCATCTACATACCCTTGTAGATCGCTAAGCGGAAGCGTTCAAGAGAACGGGGTTGAAGGAGTCGTACTCGTCGTGATCCAAATCACCGGAGATCCTAGTGCCGAACGGACGGCACCTCCGCGTTCAACACACGTACAGCCCGGTGACGTCTCCCACGCCTTGATCCAGCAAGGAGAGAGGGAGAGGTTGAGGAAGACTCCATCCAGCAGCAGCACAACGGCGTGGTGGTGATGGAGGAGCGTGGCAATCCTGCAGGGCTTCGCCAAGCACCGCGAGATATGAGGAGAAAGAGAGGGAGGGCTGCACCAACAGGCAGAGATCGAATCACCTCTTATGGGCAGCCCTATGCCTCACTATTTATAGGGGAGAGGGAGGAGGGTGCGCCCCCCTCTAGGGTTCCCACCCCTAGGGGGGGCGGCAGCCCTAGATGGGACTTGGGGAGGCGGCCAAGAGGGGGAGAGAGGGGAGGCGCCCACTAGGTGGGCCTTAAGGCCCATCTGGACTAGGGTTTGCCCCCTCCCACTCTCCCTTGCGCATTGGCCCCTTGTGGGGGGCGCACCAGCCCACCTAGGGGCTGGTCCCCTCCCACACTTGGCCCACGCAGCCTTCTGGGGCAGGTGACCCCACTTGGTGGACCCCCGGGACCCTCCCGGTGGTCCCGGTACATTACCGATATCGCCCGAAACTTTTCCGGTGACCAAAACAGGACTTCCCATATATAAATCTTTACCTCCGGACCATTCCGGAACTCCTCGTGACGTCCCGGATC